ACGGTATTATTAAAGTGGAATATATGTATATCTTTCGCATTCTGCGATCCTGCTATTTCTCTTCCATTTTGTTTAAACAATTCATTAAAAATACCGCATGTCTAACTGCAAAAAATGTTTTGTTAGGAAAAAGAAGCAGTGATGTTTAGATTGTTCCGAGGTTTCGCAATAATTACAAATCTCAAACATTGCGATACAATTTACCAATGATACTCAATAAATACAGTCACGTAAACAGTTTCTCATTAAAAGAACTACGATCCTTTTTTGTAAATATAGGCTAACTTTTTAACGTTGTAAAATGTGCTGTCTGTACGATAGTACAATTTCATTTTTCTTTCAGTGTGTGCATCCATGCTGTACCGTATAGGTTATATGATATAATTCTGTCTGTATAAATTTGTTTGTCTGACATGTGATGTACATTGTATGATGCAGCACATACACGAGGAGCGAATTTGTATATATCTTCCCTGATATTCTCATCATTTATTAATTCTTATTATTCTATAATGGTGTTATGGTTGCTGGATTATGGTTGCGTCCATGTAATCTTCTGTGCTAAGCTGGTATCAGGATGTTTTCGTAGGAATGTATATATATGTTTTTATTACATCGTAGTTTGGTATTGTAATGTTAGCTTATGGTCTTTATTGTTATACACATCTTTGTCATTGTCCCACCTGCCTTGTATAGGGTTCACTGGCCTCGTCAAGCTGTCTACAAACAGCTTTTAGCCAGTGAACCTCTCCAGAACCTGTTTCTTTCGGGGAAAATAAAATAATTTGATTTCATTTGATTATTTCGCAGGCGGTAAGGTGTACAATGCAAGGCGACAGGCAGGTGCCACCACATTTTTGTATTAGCAAAGCGAAGGAAACACTTGCTTTTTTCGTGCATAGCGTTGCATTGTCAGCGCAGCGTGATAAACGCTACGGTCCTTAGAATTACTTATGTATGCTCCTCTAGTACGAAGAAACACACCACATAGTATTGGCGTGTTGATATTGTGACTCAGATATGCGCAATACTTTCTTTTTATCGAACAATGCTCAAGTGAGAATGCAGAAACCAGAGAAATATTGATGGGCGTTGCGCATGTGGTTAGGTTTTAGTGGTTTCAGGTATCGTTTCGGCGCACAAACAGACAGGCAGACAGACAGACAGGCTCAGATTTTACCTCAAGAAAGACTAACGTACCTCAAGAAAGACTCAAGAAACCTCAAGAAAGACTAACGTACCTCAAGAAAGACTAACGTCTCCAAAAAACAACCTGGCTTAAGCGGAACGCGCAGTACTGTCACAACTAAAGCTGGAAGAACAGCCTTTCAGAGCCTTTTTACCACGCTTTGAATAGCTGCCGCAAGCATATTTGCAGCGTACCGACTATGCCATCAAACATTTTGTAGTAGGCAGGCATTCACTATGCCAACTTTGCCATTTTTGGGGGGAAGCGACCCAGCTGCGTTTCACAGGATAAAAAATAAAGTTATTTTTTTCTGTCTTCCTCTCTTGAGAAAATTGAATTGAATTGAGTTTTATTGACATAAAGATAGTTTACAGTATACAACAGTGTAAAAAATGCATCTGAATCCCTAGCCAAAGGCTAGTTGGGATTCATTCAAAACAGTAATATAGAAAAGGGAATCTCATTTACACACAAAATAACGTTTACTAATGCACGTATTTTACAGAAATTGTGGTGCTCGCGGCACACTTGGAAGGATTTTTGTGTCATTTTTAATCCTGTGCCTGAAGACGATTAAGAGTTATGCAAGAAGATTTTATATTCTGTACAGCCCCCGCAGTGGGTATGCGCCATAGTTAATAGGTGAACAAGATGAATCTTTCGTAGTGGGTTAGAGCATGCAACGACCCACTTGTTGTGCAATTCACATTGTGTGGCAACTGATAGATCCTTTGCTGTTCTAAAACGTTTTACTACCCATATTACCGTGATAGCTTTTCTGACATCATATGTGGCTAAGGCCAATTTGCAAAGAAATCACAAACACCACCATGGCTCAGTGGTAGAATACTGGGCTGGCACGCAGGGTACCCTGGTATTAATCCCAATGTATTTTTCGTGTTTGTACTCACGAAGTTTTTTTTGTGTGTGTGTGCGATAGTAGACACGGACACCGGCGGCGGCATTGGCGAACACATGGCGCCGTACATTACTGCTGCTGTGATTTCAGAAAAGTTTTCGCTGTACAAACGCGCAGCAAAGTCGCAACGAAAGCTGAAACAACGTCACTTCAGAGCCTTTTATTCACTCTTTGTGGACCTGTTCCAAGCACAATTGTAGGGTACCCACTACGTTTTAGAATTATCCCTGAAGCTTTAGCAATGAGTTGGATTATTCGACGACCCATTCGTTCCACAATTCGAATTCTGGGTTGCCTGCTGGGTTGTGCATTTGCTGTTGTAAGATGCTTTAATAATCACAATAACGCGATTTCTTTCCCGACGTCAAGCGTGCCTAAAGACGATTTGTAATGGACTTTGAAGCATCGGCTCGGCTCTGTAGTAAAATACTGGGGTTTCACACGGGGGACCCTGCTTCAAATCGTATGGTATCTAGTGCTTTTTCACTTACTTCACGGGATAGTGATTACGGACACCGACGGCGGACAACTACTGCGCATACGACCCTTGTTGTGCTCAAATAACATATTTCGCTATCAAAATTGTAAACTACCCTATCAACTGTGATAACGTCTCTTTTTCGTTTTTTGAAACTACAAAGGAACGATACCTTTATCTTAAACTTTACGTTAATCATGGCGTGGCTGGTTTACTATTGCAATAGGTACTGCACAGGCACGTCGGCCTGGAGAGATGCACTGTGGATAGAAAGAGTGGGTAACGATTTAGTACACTCGGTAAACTACACTGGGAGAGTGTAAAGCCGTACCGAGGGCTTCAGTTATGTACTGTACTTCTTCGTGGAAACTGAGATAAGTTTGGTGGGGGTGTGATTTAAACAACAGAAATATTCCTATGCTGACGCTGAACTCCATGCCTTTACAGGCTTTTTATTTAGCTTTGGTTCCTTTATTCTAATATCAATAAGTATTGCCAGATAAAGGTATTATGCATTGAAAGTGTTGCCGTTGTTTAGGAACTACTTCCTTTGTAGCATGGATGCATGAAAAATACGATCAATGGAACCTCGTGGGTGGAGCTTATATTTATTCTCAGGCTGCTGTGGCTCCGCGTTTCGAACTTTTGCTAGTCCCGCGAAAAGCTGGATCTGGCAAACGGGGAAGGCTGAACACTGGTCGCGTTTCCCTGTGGTCGGGCAGTGGTGTAGAATAACTGTAACATGCCACGAGTAGGTGACTTCGGCCCAAGTCTAGCTCACAATCAGTGAAATTCTGATGTAACATGGAAATTACACTTCATTAGCATCACTAACTCAGCTAATAGTGTTCTTGGATACTTTCGTCACAAGCTTGCCTCACCACCTGCTTCTACGTAACTAATAGCCTGGAAAACACTCGTCGGCATAAACTAGAGCATTGTTATGCCACTTTTGGTTTTCATCAAGCTCAACTTTCCACTATGCTCGAATCAATCCAGAACTTCCTCTTCAGATTTATTATCTCGAATTATTCGACTAACTTGTGTCAGCCGTCAAATGTCAACTTTTTCTTCCTCATCTTGCCTCTCACCGTAAAGTTTACATTTCCTCCTGCATCATAACTTCATTCATTTCTTGCCACCAGGAAAAGCAGTCATCAGACCTGCCCATAGGACATCGCGCCATTCTCACTACAACAGCGTGGATTCTGTGTACCCTAGAAAGAGGCCTTCTATAGGTAATTTTTCCTTCGACAGGCCATAACTAGAACGACGTTTCCGCCCACATCGCCATGTCATCTGAATTTGTCCAATTCAAAACTACCGTCAAGAGCCATATTCTATCTGTGTATTTATGATTCACTGCTGTTTGTTTTATTTTGTTGTTATGATTAGAGTGCTGCTTTGCTTTCTTTTGTTTCATCTATCGTGTTTTTTAGCCACCACGCATGTAATGTCCCTTGGGATTCTTGAGGTACTAATAAACGAATGAAACCTTCTGGCTGTCGCATCACTTTCTGTGATTCTGCTCTCACGCTACAGCTACCACAAGCCTCTATGATTACAAGAGTTAGGCGAAGATCTTTATGGCATGTGGCATGGGTCTGTCGCTCCTCTGTATGTATGTGTGGATGTATGTATGAGCGTAGCCACTAGTGGCATATACCCGCTCCAGAGCGACTATGTGCCACAGGGGTTGCGGGATGTGAGATGGCGGTGCTTGGAGTGTTCACAAGATGGACGCGCGGTCAGACGGACAGCCAGACTGCAGACGGACGGACGGATGAATGTACGAACGGATGGACAGATGAATAAACGGACTCAGGAATGGACGCACGGACAGATGCGTGGATTGACACACGAATGAACAGAAGCACGGACGGGCTGACTTACGCTTTGCCCCACTCATCATTATTCACTCTGTAGATATGCTGTGATTCTTTAATGACTGATCATGGGCATTTGTCGATGAGATTCGAATGTACGACTATTCATCAACTTGAATGCATCCACATTAAGTGGTGTTGTATCTGTAGATATGTTTATTTACAGAAAGGCAGAGAGGTCGGCCTGAGCGATAGCTTGCTCTAGCCTGCTACTCTACACTGGGGGAAGGGAAAGGGGAAAAGAAAGATTAATGATTGACGATGGTGAGTATGTAGTGTTCTTTCAAGCTGAGACACATCTTATAGCCGCGCACATAGTACAGTTGTTTCTAAAAAGGTAATAACTGCTCTTGTGACCGCAGTTGCACTGTTGGTGTCTGGCCAAGGGCCCAACATGGTCTCATCAGTTAATGACCTACTGCGATATAGTTCAGTAGAAGAAATCAGTGTTTGTCGTTCACGTGCGTATGCTGGGCAGACACAAAATATGTGCTCAAGTGTTTCTGGCACATCACAGTGTTCACAATTAGGACCGGTGTCACTGCGACCGATGATATGTGCGTAACGTCTGGTGTACGCTACACCAAGACGAATGTGGTGGATCATACTTGTGAGTTGCCGTTTCAATTTAGGAGGCATGCGGAACCTCATTTCCGGGTACCATTTGTGAAGTCGCTGGTGTCGCCGCTCCGGTTTGGTCCAGTGATGAAGTGTGTAGCTGCGCATCACGCAGCGAAGCAGGGCGTTCGTGTCAGCTCGTGAAAACGCAATGCGTACTTCAGGGGCACTGCTTAAGACATTTTTAGCTTCAGCGTCTGCCTCTTCGTTTCTCATCACGCCGCAATGAGCGGGAATTCACTGGAAAGTTATAAGATGGCCATTTGTTGAAGCAACCTGAATAAGTTCTGTGATTTCTATTGCCAGGCTGTAATATGGACCTTGCTTCCTGATGCAATTAATGGTTTGCAAAGCGGGTTTGGCATCACAGAAAATCGTCCAGGCTCGAGGTCGCTCTCCGGAAATAAACCTTATTGCCTCTCGGATAGCGACAAGCTCTGCGGCAGTTGATGTGGTTTTATGGTCCACTTTGAATCGTCGAGCAATATCCATGTCTGGGATCACAAAGGCTGCGGCGGAGGTGTTTAGCGTGGTGGATCCGTCGGTGTACACGTGCAGAGAATCACTGTACGTTGTATAAATGTGATATAAGGTCAGTTGTCTGAGGCCAACAGAAGAAATGAGCGACTTCTTCGTAATTCCAGGTATCGTAAAAGAGATAGGTGGTCTAGGCAGAACCCATGGAGGCACTGCAGGGGCATTTGGCGGAGAAAACCTTGATGGTATAATATTTTCATGCCGCGATATTACTTTTGAGAAACTGCAATCTGGGTGAGTGGCGGGTAGTACTGACAGTGGGTGCTGTCTGTGTCTGCTCAGTAATCGGAGGTGAACTCTAAGCGGCTCGCAGAGCATGTATACACTGATGGGACAAGCCCGAGCCTCTGCGATTGTCCCATTTGTTGAAGTGCAGCGTGGTAGACCCAAGCATCTTCCTAAGCATTGTGCTTGAACACTCTCGAGTGTCTTCACACAACTAGGTCTCATATTGGAAAGCACCGGCATGCTGTATCGATTGTATCCCACAAATAGAGCATTGTATAATTGAAGTAGCGATGATTCTGATGGTCCCCATCTTGCTCCAGCTACGTGGCGAAAAACGAGAGCAAAGCTCTTCAGTTTAGATTTAGGTACGGCAACATGCCTCGTCCACGTTAGATCTCTGTGTACGACAACCCCAAGAAACTTGTGGTGCGTTACAGCAGGTATCGCTGTCCCATTAATAAATATCAGGTATTGCGACATATGCTTGCGCGTGAACGCAAGCACTGCGCATTTGTCGATAAAGAGTGAGCCCCTGACGTCGTAGATATTTGTATGTGATCGTCACTGCACGCTGTAGTCGAGCTCGCAATTGGGGACGAGTAGTTCCGGATGCCCATATGCATATGTCATCAGCGTATGCAGTGATCTTCACCGTGCTGGGAAGTTCTGCTGCTAGGCCAATCATTGTGACATTGAATAGGATCGGGCTGAGAACTCCTCCTTGGGGATCACCACGATAAACCTTATATCGATCGGTGTCTCCGTTACTTGTCGTCATGTAAAAGGTGCGGTCCCTAAGGTAGCTAAAAATCCAAGCGTACAGTCGTCCACCGATGTCGAAATCTTCCAGTGCGTCAAGGATCACATAATGCAGCACATTATCGTAGGCACCCTTAATAGGGAGTGTTAGTGCTGGGTACGCATTATCTTGGGGCGCTGCGGGCTTGGGAGCGCGCGGCGTTGCGTGCCCAACCCATACCCAACCGGAATGCCTTTTAGTTGGCGCCACGGTGGCACGCACGCAAACGCAAGCCGCACGAAGTTCACACGCGCTCGCAGAGCCATAGCGTCTTGTCGCGAAAGTATTATTTAAGTCTTTTTATATTTAAAATGGTAAATAAACATACATAGTGATCAGGGCACTTTTTTTATTGTGTACAGTAATCTGGTATACGCAAAAAAGTGAAAATACAAGGTTACAGTAACGGCAGTGTCGACATTTTGTGACTCTTCGTGCAACCGCAGTCATGAACATGTTAGCTTACGCATAATGTTTTTGAGGAGAAAATGAATAAAAAGGTTACTCATTTGTAATATTGTCGCTGCGCAGTTTTTGCACCAGATGTACAATGCACAATGTTTCTGCAATAACAAAGTTGTGGTTGTCTGTTTCACAATGACCGCACTAGATGGCGCCACCTATTCAGCTGGTCGGGGGTTGGCATATGTTTTTTAGTTTCTATGTTCCAGGCCATTCTAGCTTTGGAAATATGGCTGAAACCGTATAATCGCTATAAGTGCTCGCACTTTGGCTTATTTTAACTCGACGGCTAGAGTATCCGCAGTGCGGATACCGTGAGTTCTTGCGAAGGTGGACCGCGCGGACGCATGGCCCCATCGCCCCAGCGATCTTGCGACGCATCTGTTTGGGGTTTCGCGCATGCGCAATACCACCGCCCCAACGTCCTGCGTACGCAAGCCGCCTGGGTACCCAGCACTAAAACTCCCTAATGTCTAAGAAGACCGCCGCCACTAGTCTTCGTCAGCTTCTTTCCTCTTCAACGCTGGTGATCAAGTCGACCACACCATCAATGGCAGATCGGCCTCTTCTGAAGCCGTTCATAAATGCAGGAAAGGAGTTGTTGCTCTCTAGAAGCCACTCTAACTGTGCCAGTACCATTCTTTCCATCACTTTTCCGACGCAGCTGGCTAACGCGATTGGTCTGTAGGAGGAAAGTGCATAAGGACACTTCCCCGGCTTGAGCAATGCAATAATGCGTCTGCATTTCCAGTTAGCTGGGACTTCTCCTGACTCCCATGAGGTGTTATAATGAGATAACAGGATACGTCGTGCTTCTGTATCAAGATGGTTGAGTGCAGCATACGTGATTCCGTCAGGTCCTGGTGCCGATGATCGGCGGGAGACAGAAATCGCAGCGTCAAGCTCATGTATTGTAAAACGTACATCAAGGCGCTCGTCAAACAATGGAGGGGCAATGGTAGTAAGAAGCTCATTAGTGGCAAGACCATCAGTGGTGCCCACGATGAGGCTACAGTAGTCACTGGCTATCTCAACTTCTTTCCGTCCCTGATGCAGAGCAACAGCTTGAAATGGTTGACGTTGTTGGGGAGTTGTCTGCAAACTTCGTACCACCCGCTAGATCTTAGATAGAGGTTGCTGGGGTCCAGAGATCCTCAGAAATTTCTCCAACGTTGCCTGTCAATCTTGTCAAGATGCCGAAGAACATGTCGTTGAGCTCGACGACAGGCGAAAAGGTCTGAAGGTGACTTCGTTCGTCTGTATCGGCGTTCGGCACGGCGACGAATTGCACGAAGGGCCTCGTATTGAGAGTCAACTGCTGATCTCTGCATCGGTAGGTTAACCTGTTTAGTTGTGTCACGCAGTGAAGAAGCAATGATGTTTTCTACCTCGGATGGATCAGTCGTGTGCTCACAGCCAGACTTGACAGATGCCTTGAACAGTGTCCAGTCGGCTTGACGGATGTAGCGTGTGTGCGTGCGGTGAAACCACCTGAACTGAACATAGGTTGGAAGGTGGTCACTGCCGCGAGTGTCCAAATCTGTGCACCAACATGCGAAAGACAGGTTTCTGGAAACGAAACAGAGGTCGAGGCAGCTGCTGTAGGACGTGCCACGAACATATGTAGGTGATCCGTCATTGAGTACGCTTAGTCTATAGTTGTATATAAAATTGGCTAAATCCTTTCCGCGATAATTTGTTGTAGTGCTACCCCAGAGAGGATGATGTGCATTAAAATCGCCGATCACAATGTGTGGCCTTTGTGCTGCTTGAAGAATGGTCCCCAGGTGGAAGCAGTCCATCTGTGCGCTTGGGTGTATGTATCCTCCTATTACGGAGAATGTTCGCTTTTTATGTGTTATAGTCAGGCTCACGTAATCATTGCTGGTATGCGACGCGACTTCATATCTCAAGAACGTCAAATCACGGCGTATACAAACGAGAACTTTGCTCTTACGTTGATCACTGCGGGACCAAATCTGGATATATCCAGATATACGAAAAGGTGAAACCATATTCGGTTGACATATAGCGATAAGAGGAAATTGATATTTAAAAACCCATTGTCTGAAGTCTGACAGACGGCGACGTAGGCCACGAGCATTCCATTGCATAACAAGCGACTGGCGCATGCGTTCTTCGAACATCAGTGCCATGTTCACTTACTGAAGAACCAGTAGAAGAGGCTCCAAAACCTCAAGTAGCTGCACAGCCGCCTTAGCAGCGGGAGTGTTTAGGCTGCTGAGAATCTTACGCATCGAACCCATCAAATTTTTAAGCATAGCCTTGACATCTGTGTTGTCCATCTTCTTGTTTTCTTCATTGGGTGTAGGGGCACTATGTGATGATGGCGCTACCGTAGCTCTTGACAGTAGTGAAGGCCACTGAGTCTCCAACGTGGGGAGAGCCAATGACTGGTTACATTGTACTTGCGTGGACTGTATTGGCATTTGAGCATCTGTATTCTCCTTTCTGTCCGACAAAAGTAGGCTAGGAGGTGGTGAGGGCACGGTTTTGTGTGTCGAATTCGATAAGCTATGAGCACTGCTGCTTCGTTTGCGTCGATGTCGCGAACGATGTTTACGGCGCCGTACAGCTCTTGCAGCTTCTCTGTGAGTGGAGTGGTCTCGAACCATCTTCTTCAGGATACTAATTTCATTCCTCATTTTAGGACATTCCTTTCATGTTGCGTCGTGGGCGCCTGAGCAGTTTGGGCATTTGGCCACAGCATTGCAGTTATCACCATCATGAGGGCCACCGCAATGCTTGCAGGTTACTGCGCCCTTGCAAACTGCACTAACGTGCCTCAATTTCACGCATTTATGACATTGCAGAGGTTTTGGTACGTAAGGACGTACCGAGTGCCTCACGTACCCAACTTTTACATGTGTGGGTAACGTCTTCGACTGAAACACTACTTCAACACATCGCGTGCGTCCAAAGCGGTGGAAGCCAAGCACGGGAGCCGAGGATGACAGCAGTTTCTCGAGACTCGAGTATGTTATCTCCTCATTCACATCGTATATAACTCCTGTTGTCGTTTCTTCGTCGTACGCGGAGAATGCGCGAACCGGAATATTTCCTAATCGAACAATCGCTTTTAGCGTGTGCATTAAGGCCTTCGTAGTGACCTCCACGGACAGTATGTTCTCTCGGGTATTTATGCGTATTTCTACGACGTTCCCTGGAGCGATGAGCTCAAAGTACTCTGTCAGGCTCTGCCTATTTAGAGAGTTCAAGATGTCTGTCTTCGATGTCGGCACATACGAAATGGTGTACGACCGCATGCTACTCGCCTTTGTCTGTGCTTGCCGGCTAGTGGGCGATGTCCGGCTGATTTTCCTCTTCAGGCATCGGCTTGGTACGACCACGTAGTCGCTGACCGAAGCCATATCTTCAACGGAGGAGTCATCAGAATTGTCATCGTGGGCCACGCTTGGGCCGGGGTGAGAACTTGCGTCAGACGCACTATGATGTGCTCGGCCCGGTCCCGGTTGCTGGATGGGGTTTTGATCCCCCATTCTAAGGGGGAACGCCCCTTCGAGGAGTGTCGATTATTGAAAAATCTTGGCAAAATAATTAGGAAACTCACAGAGCTCGAAGCAGAGGCTGTTCTCTGTGACAACTTCTTCTTCTCGTGTTGTATCTGCCTTACACCTTATACATTGCCCATAGGTGTTGTATCTGCCTTACACATATGGGCAATGTATAAGCTTTGTTAACACAATGTACAGTGAACATTCAAATACTTATGTAAGGACACGTTTTGCTTTCGTGTTTTCTAGATTTTTATAACGGAGGTTTATACCATGTCGTTTTGTTGACTAGAGAACTATTTCACGGCGGCGGCATGGTGTCTGAATTATGCGCCACCTCCAAAATCTGCATCTCCTAGAAGCTTCACTTATACAAGCAGCGTAGTATTGTTAATACTCTTTAGCTTTCCCTACGTGGGATCGCGGGTTCACAAGCAAGACGGGCATCATTCAGAGACAAGGCTTCATTTGTGTAAGCCAGCTGTCCGTACACTTCCCCGATAAGGAAGCATCATTCCTTAACATAGCTTCCTAATATCGCACTCATCACGGTAACATTAGTTGGTTGAGGCAAGAGTCACTGGTGGAGGGTCGTGCTCT